TAAGAGTACAGTCCTGACCAAGACATCAAGTAACGGAGGATTTATGCCAAGCTGTTGCTCCTGTGAAGGCTAATCTTATTAAATCAGGGTTAGAGCAGACCACCCCTAAATAGACAAGACAAATCCAGCAAATAGGAAACAGACAGATATCTGTTATAATTACATTATTGCAAAACTGGGCTAATAACACGATTGACGTCAGTTAGAGGTAAATCAGGGTTCAGCAGGTTAGTTCGTGATGCAATTCAGTAATTCAGCTGAGCCATAATGTAAAGAACTTTACACCCCAGCTTTGCTTTAAAAAGGCACTCGAATGTATAGCATTTTAAGCTCCAGCCAGTATCCCAAAACTCAGTGAGAAGAAGAAAAAAATAATGATTAGCAAGTAAAAAGAAGAAAAGGAGATTTTTTCATTTTAACTTTTTTACTTATCATTAGATGATGAAATAACTCATTACAAGGACTTGGATGAAAGACACAGAAACCAGACATGTAAAGATGCATGAAAACCATCTACCTGACAGGCAGGCAAGCAGGATGAATAGTGGACATAGCTGAAGAGAATGAAAACAATGAGCTGAGGAAGAATACTGATTAAAGGAGTCTTGGAGGTAAATTTGGTTCAAATACATACACTGCTCAAAAAAATAAAAAAAAGGGAGCATGTAAAAAACACATTGTATTTTCAGTTAAATCAAACTTCTGTGAAATCAAACTGTCCACTTAAGTGTTGTGGGAATAAACGGGGATCCATGAATTTACTCAGTCTGCCCTTTGTTTTACTTTGCAAAGTAAAAGGAGAACAAGACAATCATAACAGCCATAACAGTATGATGTTCTGCACTGTTTGGATATAGACAGCATTTGTTTCACTAAATTAAAGCCTGTAAAAGAGCTGAGAAGGTCTCCACATACAGATACCCAAAGAGACAGTTGGAAACAAAAAATAATGTTAAGAATAAATTCCTGAAAAAACAGTCTAGCTTGTTATGAAACCATTATTCTTATCCAAAAACAATCCCTAATAGGATAAGCAACAAATATCTTGCAGCCTTGCAGCCCTGAGGCTTGAATGAATGAAACCCAGCACTCATAAATCAATATAAGTAAAGGAGAAATGTATCCTCATGTAAAGCCTATTGTAGAAGAGAGTTAATGGAGGACTGTTTAGTAGAGCAGTGGGTAGAACTGCTGCTTTGCAACAAGAAGAATCCAGGTTTGATTCCCAACCTGGGGTATTTCTGCATTTTCTCCTTGTGCATGTGTGGGTTCTCTCCAGGTACCACAGTCCAAAAACATGATTTTCTGACAAATTGGCTTTCCTGTGAGTTTCTGTGTTTTGCCCTGCGATGGACTCGCGACCTGTACAGGGTGTACCCCGCCTCTTGCCCATAGACAGCTGAAAATAAGCACCAGCACCCCCCACGGTTCCAGCAGGGATAAGGCGACAGAAAATGAATGGATAGAAATATTGAGAGCTAGATTTTTTTCCCCACCACAGTTACAATCGTTCAATTAGAATGAATATATCTTTTTCTGTAAACAAAAATTAAAAAAGAAAAAAAATCAAGTACTATTTATCATGGGATTTACTAATTCGTATTAAGATCAGTTGTAAAAAAGTTAGCAGGAGTCAGCTGTGTCCGAACCAGGTATAAAACTATCTGCAGCGTTGAATGTTTTTAATGGACAAGACTATTAAGCCATCCATTTTCCGTCAAACTTATCCCTGCTGGGGTTGCAAGGGGTGCTGGTGTTTATCTCCAGCTGTCAATGGGCGAGAGGTCGGAAAGGTTGTGATAGCTAAAATATATTGCCAATAAATAGAGGTGTGGAATCTCATCCCAGTTGGCAAAAGTACATTATAACTGCTTTTTTCCCCCATGATGATACTTTTTCATGGTAAAAGATCTATTTGACGAGAATGTAAAAAGTACATTATTATTAATTTCAGCTCTTATCGTCATCCGTTACCCTATTATCATCAGCTCATTAGTCCTGTCATTGTTCAGTCTCCCATATAAACTCTCCCTGTGCAGTTCCTCAGTGCTGGTTCTTCATCTTTTCCTGGCTCCTTGTGCTTGTTTTCCCTGATGTCTCCATGGTTCTGGTTTGTTTTACATTTTTTTGTTGGATTTTTGGATTCCTGCCTCAGTTGCTTGTGAACATTCAATTAAATCTTTAAGAACTCACCTTGGCCTCCCTGTCTCTGCATTTGGATCCCCAGAACCTCAACCAAACCCTGACATGATGTTAGAAAATGTAAGTTGTATGTTTGAATACTTACCTGTTTTCAAAATTGCGTACTTCAGTACTTTACCTTGAGTAGATTTT